TAATAAAAAAACCTAAATTACGAAGATGGCCGGGCTGGTATTCGGGAAAAACGACTTCACACCAATATTTATTGAACAGTTAAAATGGGTTGAGGCTTTTTGGCAAAAACGTTAATAGACGAACAACTAATGGACCTAGGACCTAGCTTTGTGGTACTCCACATCTTATAAATTACGTATTCCACATATAGCTTTTGTCCTGTACACTAATTCTGAATAGCTGGAATAACGTTGAAATTTTAATCATCAAAATGTTGCCAGATGTTAATTTCTAGAAGTTCTGAAAACGCGGAATAGTGATGGAACTTCGAAGGAGACTTCAAAATCAGCGCAAATATTGAGCATAACTGATTAAGTCGATATTTCTTAAGGAATTCTGTAACTTCCTCGTACCAAACCAATTATTTTTTTTAAAAACGATTAACATTTTTGAAAAAAAATTACTTCAAAAAAATAAGATTTTTGAGAAACTATAAATTTGACAAAAAATTACTTTTTTTTGAATAAAAAATTGAACAAAAAAATTATTTAAATTTTTTTTTTTAAATCTTTTTTTTTGAAAAAAAAATGTTTTCTTTATTTTGACATATGTTGGAAGATCTGAACTTTTTTTCAAAGCAATCGTACTGCTTTAAATGCATAGAGACAAAATATAAAGCGCGTAAGCGCCGCGTCGCTGTCTAACGGGTAAACATTGGAACGGAACCCATAGGAATGTAAACAAAATTTATACTTATTGTTAAAATCTTTATAAAATATCTGATAATTTGATGTGCATATGCCTAATGATCATTTTTGACCGCCAAATGGCTTTTTTTTTTACTTTTTTCGTTATATCTCCGAAACCGCTAAACCTGCCCTTATAAAAATTTGATCAAATCTTCATCTTGTCAATACAAGTAAAATGTTTTTTGAATTATTAAAATCGGACGCTCCGTTCTATTAAAAACTGAGGTACCGTTTTTGGCACTTTTTGCCCCATATCTTCGGAACGGCTAGACCTACCTCCGCCAAAAACTAATCAGCACGTCTCCTTATCAATACGGATCGAATGTTTTTTGAATTATTCAAATTGCTTCATCCGTGTTCCCGAAATCGTCGACGAAAATTTGTATCCGCACACACATACATACTACGCACACACACACACACACACACACACACACACACACGCACACATACATCCATTTTTTCTAAGGTATGCAAAAATATTCAGAAACCTCTGAAACGTAAAGATATATAAAAATTTTCATTTTCGATTTTTTTGCGATTACTATAACTTACCCTACGGGAAGTTAAAAAAAACTGAGTCTATTCTTAAAAAAATCATATAATCTAAAAAAAGCTTAATCTAAATATTGTATTCTTATTTATGACAATTTGTTTCAGATGGTAAATATGTATTTGAAAATGTGCTTCCTGGCTCTTATGAAGTATTACTAAACCCTGGTGTGCTCTGCTTCGAGAAAACAAGCCAACAAATAACAGTAACAAAAGAAAAACATCAAGTTCCTGCTTTCAAACACACTGGATACTCTGTAGTGTTTGATAATAGTCACAAGACAAAGGTAAAATAGATAAAAAATTACTTTTCTCTACTTATTTAAAAAAAAACGAAGTTATTGAAATCAATACTTTCTATTTGAGTCTATATCGATTCCTTTCCCAGATGACCTATTCAAATAACAAATTCCAAGAAACAATCTCGCTAGAAGCTGGTGAGTCTAAAATCTGTGTCCGAGACCAAGGTGTATACACAATGAGCTTTGAAAGTTGTCACACTTACGGCAAATCAGCCGAAGATTTAACTTTTGATACAAGAAACTCCCCAAAACCTGTCAAGATTGTGGCTTTGACTCATGCTCATGGCATCAGGGTGGCGACTCCTGTTAAAGTTAATGATTTGTATGTCAATGTTAAAATTGACAACGAACCTGAGAAAAAGGTAAGTAGATATAGATAAAAAGATAGTCTTTCTAAAGAAATGAAACTTGGTAATGGGAGGAAAAGGTGGAAATTGATTTTTAATGGACTCGTTTTGTTTTTTTTCGAACTTTTTTACCCTTTTCACTCGCGAATTACGGCGGCATCTGAGTTGAAAGGGTTAAACTTACGATGTTTTAAAATAGTTTAAACGCTTTGTAACGTTTTGTAAATTAAAATCTCAATAGTATTTTAAGATCCATCACAACATTTTCAGACACCATGTAACGTTTTCAGACTTTGTACAGAGTTTCTAGACAGTTCAGAAATATTTTTAGACACTTTACAACATTTTCAGACAACATTACAGCATGTTAACCCTTTCCACTCGCGAATTGCTGAACTAACACGTATTGTGCCGCCATAGGGGCGGCATCCTAGTGAAACGGGTTAAGACTCTTGACAAATCGGCGTACATTAATCACGTGATCGATTTTTAAGGATATGTGTACATCCTTTCACCCTTGGTGATATGTGGTGAATTTAAAATTATCCTTCCTTCGTCATCAAACATCAAGTGCATTTTTAGCACCTAAAAAAAATCATAATTTTTTTATTTATTTTTAATGTTTTTTTTTGTTTTGTTTGAGGTAGAAAATAAATACACGTCTTACTCGACCCTTTCCTCCCCATGTTATATTTCGTGATTTTTTTTGTAAACCCTCCCTTATCCTTTCAAGCATCATGTTATTAATGTACTCCCTAACAGTTCAGACACTTGACAACATTTCAAGACATTTGACAACATTATCGGATGCCCTATAACGTTATCAGACAATTTACAACATTTTCCCCTCCCTCCATAGTTTTTTCCTACCCTTTTCCCATTTTTTTCACTCCATAATGGCGTGCTCTGCATCCGCCCTAGTCACTCCACCCAAGCAACAGCAACGTTACTTTGTCGGAAGCCGCATTAGAAGTTTCACTTCAAAATACAAAATATATCTAATGCATTGAACAAAATGTTATTATATTTTATTTTTCCAGGTTTACCTCTCAGATAAAAACCTACTTACGTCTGACAGCAACAAGTATGTCTACCATCACACATTACAAGTGGCTTCAGACAGTTTCGTACAAGTGCAACCAATTTCTGAGAAACTTCTGTTCGAGCCCAATAAAATTGAATTTGTTGGCAGCAACGACTGCAAGGACCAAGCTGCTGAGACTATAAATGCTAGGATTGGAAAAGTTATAGAAGGGCAAGTTACACCGGCTATTGAGGGCGTTGTGATCACCATCGAAGCACCAGGTGAGATAAATGAGAGACAAATAATAAGCAAGGATAATGATAGTTTTTATTAACTTTTCGAAGGAGAAATTTGTTTTCTGTGGAAAATTTGATTTGGTACATTTATGTTAAAAGCATTCTGAACCAAAATTAGAGAAGATTTTTTGTTGTGCGATTTATGTGATGAAAATTCTATTTTTTTACAATTTCTTCAAGTCTAATTTAATTATATTAATAATTGAATGCTTTTTCATGAATCTTTGATGTATTTTCCAAAACCGACTTGTTTTTATGCGGTCACCATCTCCCGCACAAACAAATTTTAGGCAGTATATTGTACAAAATTGTTTATTATTTTTAGAACTTTCTTAGTTCGTAGAATTTATTGTATTCAGTCTATTGTAGATTGTCCGAAAGTGTTATAAGTTGTCTGAAAATATCGCGGATTGTATTAAAATGTCGTAGATTATTTGAAAACGTCGCATATACTACTATATATGCAGTATAGCTATTTTAATAAACTAGATATGGGAATGGATGGTCCTAGGACCTAACTTTGTGGTACACCACGTCATATAAACTACATATTCCACATATAGCTTTTGTCCGCACTCTTCTTTCTGAACACTAACTGTAAATAGTTTGGAAAAACTTTGAAATAAACAGTAGAAATTTTAATTGACACTATTTAAAATGTTGCCAAATCTTAATTCTCATTGATCAATTGGATTTTTTACACAAACAAGGGAAGTACTTGCCTTAAGGCAAAATACCACTTACACCTAGTCAATTTTTTTTTTATTTTTTTTGTCTTTTTTTAGTATTTGAATTATTTGTAGAACATAACGTGTATGTATGTATTTATCGCCACATTGAACAGTTTCTAAATCTCAATTTTTACTTATTAGTAAACCGATTCTGCCACATAACAGAACAATGTTATAGCAAGACTATGTTATGAAGAACTTTCCATACTAAAATTGACAAAAGCCATGTGATTGCTGTGCAGTCAGACGTTTTTCTCAGGTTGTCAGATAGAAAACTTAATCTACAAACCGCACAAATTCCAAAAAAACGATCTTAGATAACAGGGTCTTTCTGACCCAGCTTCATAACATACGAGTAACGTTGTATTTTATGTGTAACACGCCTGAATGCACAGCAAATACATGGCATTTTGACAGTATTCAGTATGATTCAGTAGTATAATGTATGGAAGTTGTAGCGCAACAAGGCCTTGCCATAACATTGGTCTGTTGTGCGCAGAATCGGCCCATAAATCATTTATTTACATTTTTTTTCTTTTCTAGGTTTGCGTTTAGTGGCTCAAACCGATAAGAGTGGCCGATACAAAGTTGGCCCAATTGATGGATCAATTGATTACAAGTTATCAGCCGAGAAGGATTCTTTCATCTTTCAAGAGCAGAATGGAAATTTCAAGGCTCACAAATTGTGCGATATCACAGTCTCTATTCTGGACGTGGAAACTGGAAAGTCTTTGCAAGGGGTGCTTTTATCCTTATCGGGAGGTAAGATAATAAAAATAATAATAGTGCGCAGTAGAACTTGTTGAAAAATAAAAAATGAGAAAGACACACCGAAAAAAATGTTGGATAGGGATAGAAAATAAAGAGGTAGATAGATAGAGAGATATATAGGGAAAAATAGAAAAAAGAATATAGATAAAAATGTAAAAAGATAATAAAAAAAAATAATAGTGTGTAGTAAAAAATGAAAAAGAAAAAAGCCACACCGATGAATATTTAAAGACAGAGATAGGTGTAAAATAATGAGGTAGATAGATAGAGAGAGAGATATAGGAAAAATTAGAGAAATGAAAAAAGAGAAAGAGAAAGAATAGATAAAATAGAAGAAAGATAATAAGAAAGATGGAAAACATAAAAAAGAAGTAGATAAGGTATAGAATTATAAATATATAGAAGATAGATAGATAAATAGAACAAAATAAAATGCAAGCAAATGAAATTGAATAAAAATGGAAAATATATAAAAAAGGTCATAAAAAGTATCTATTTATTTATTATCTATTTAGATAGTGAGAGGGAGAACTTATTAGAAGTAAATAACAATCAATATTCATCTAAACAATTTATTTTTCAGGTGAAGGTTATCGAAAGAATCTTCTTACAAATCAAAATGGTGCTGTTGTCTTCAATTCATTAATGCCTAGTGACTATTACCTTCGAGCAGTGATGAAGGAATATGTCTTCGAACCGGCTTCGAAAAAAGTAGAAGTCAAAGAGGGACAAAGTGTTAAACTTGAAATCAAGTACGCACATTTTGTAATATATTTTAATAACAATAATAACTTTATCACTATTATTTCTTTTTCTTTATTTCAGAGGCAAAAGAACAGCCTTTTCAGCCTTTGGCTCAATAACATCTCTGAATGGAGAACCAACTCCTAATGTGGAGGTTGAAGCGGTTGGTCAAAACGAATGTTCACAATATAGCGAAGAGGCTACTACAGAAACGAGCGGAATCTTCAGGATCAGAGGTCTGCAACCGAAGTGCACGTATGTACTCAAGGTCAAAAGCGGCAACGGGTTCAATAAACATATTGATAGGTGGACGCCACGTGAGATCGAAGTGCAGGTAAGCGAAAATGAATGATAATTGATAGTTTTAGGTTTTTCAATGTTTGAAGTTATTCTGAATCGTTTGAGATCAAAAGTGGAGAAAGTATGAGTGTGTGAGGGATAATTTGACCTATAGCCGACATTTTATCAAAAACGGCTGCACCGATTTCAAAAGTTTAAAAGTCATTTGATGTCAGTTTTCCGACGCTTTCTCCAGAATTCCTGCATCTATTTTGAAAAATCAAAAATTAACCCATGGCCGACATTTTCTCAAAAACGGCCGCACCGATTTCAGAAATTTTAAAAATCATTTGATGAAATTTGATAAGGACTCTTGTTGGTCAGTTTTCCGACGTTTTCTCCAAAAGTCCTGCACCGATTTTGAAAATTCAAAAATTTACCTATAGCCGACATTTCCTCAAAAACGGCTGCACCGATTTCAAAAATTTAAGTCATTTTATGATATTTGATAAGGACTTTTGTTGGTCAGTTTTCCAACGCGTTCTCCAAAAGTTCTGAAGCGATTTTGACAAATCAAATTTTGTTTCAATTGTCTTATTGCAAATTGAAACATACACCAACTATTGTCGCACAATCATGTTTTGAGCACATTGTATTTGTATATTTTCCTCCTGTGTCATAACTTAATTTCCTTTCCAGGTCCTGGACAAGGACATTGAAGGCTTAAAAATCATCGTTTTCCACCCCATAACCCAAATGGACGTAACAGCTCACATAACAGCAAGCAACATCGACCACTACAAAAGCCTCCGCGTAAAACTCTTCCGAGAAAACTCCATGGATTCACCACTGCACAGTGTGAAACTAGAAAACCCCAACTTCCAAAAAGGCGGACGCAACCCAGGACTACGTGTTATGTTCCCCAGAATCCCCCTGGATGGCAAAAACTACTTCGTGCAACTCGAATCAACTTTATCACCGAACCAATATAAATACCACACACCAGCTGTACAATTCCTGGCCAGCAGTTCCTTTAAACACATAAATCTGGATTTCAATGCCACGACTAAGGCGTCGGAACAAGATTTGAACCAGACCAGCATGTTGGCTTTGCCGATGATCATTCTGGTGTCTTTGGTGTTTTTCAATCAGCAGAAAGTAAGCGATTTTTTGCAAATTGTTGGTGATAAGTTGAGCTCGGTCCAATTGAAACCGAGTAATAGTCAATTTGCAGTTCAACAGAATGTTGTGGTTGATCATCGAGAGATTGAACAGATTGTGCAGAATATTAATGCTGTCAAAAAGAAGCCAAAGCCAAAGAAGATTTAAGTAGACAAGCAATAGTCAAATTTATAGGTTTTCAGTCTTATTTGTAACAAGAATGTAAAATGCACACCCAGATGTAAATTTATGATAAGGCTGGAAATTAATTTATAAAATAATTCTATGAATTGTTCATTGAACATCTGTATCACCTTCAATATTGTAAATTTATCATACATTGTAAATCTGTATTTAAAGGTTGTATTAATGTTAAGATATTTGTAATATCAAATAGCTATTTATTGTTTGATAGGATTAAATTTAAAATAAATATTATAATTGGAACAGAAGTTTGATTTACGGGCCAATTCTGCCATAACGTTGTTATAGTAATGTTACGTTATGCTTGTTTTTTGGTCGTAAAAACTGTGAAAATATTTGTTTACGTGGCTAAACAATAAGTATAAGTAGATGGCAAACACGACCGCTTTGACATTACATCAATTGTAATTCTTTCAACATATCATAGATGTCGCCACCAACCGTAGCACCCAAATTTACCATTAGGTTCAATTCTAGATAAGATTTATCTGAATATATAATATAGAAAATGAATGATCACAAGCGCCAAGACGGCGTTCACGAAGAAGAGAACACTACTGACAAGCAAACTTAGTCCCGACTTGCGGAAGAGTTTGATAAAATGTTATGTCTGGAGCATAGCTCACGTATCAGAGACATGTGCTCTAAGAAAAGCCGACAAGGACTATCTGGAGAGTTTTAAAATGTGGTGCTGAAGGCGTATGGAGAAGATAAAGTGAACAGACACAATAACGAATGAAGAAGCCATGAGAAGAGTGAGCGAAGCAAAGACTCTACTGAGCACAATCCTAAACAGAAAACAAAACTGGATCGGACCCGTTATGCAAAGAGAGTGCATTCTGCACGACGTCGTCGAAAGCAAAATAGAAGGGCTGACAGGATTGGGAAGAAGAAAAATGCAGACTGTTGATGACTTACGCGAGAGAATTAAAAGCTGAAGCGAATGGAACACATATCACAATTTTATTAAAAGTCGAAAGAGAATTTAATTTAAGTAAGCGAAAACACTTGGAGGCACTGCAAGCCTCTAGCGAAAGCGGAGCAAGCTTCTAACAAATTGATTTTTTCCAAAAACAATTAAAAAACTTTATCTACCGAAGAAGATTAAGTTGATAAGAACAAATTCCATACGTGAATTCAGTAAAAGAAAAATTCATAAAAACGATTATAAAATGATTAATGGTGTATAATCAATGGTAAGAAAAGGATAATGGGAATAATAAACAAGGGAGGGGAAGAAAATTATTGATTTTGTGGTGCTCTTATACCGTTGACCTGCCTTTGGGCACACTATTTATTATTACGGCCGGACCTGCCTTTGCCAAAAACTAATAGCAACTTCTTCCCGTTATTACAAATTGAATGTTTTTTTGGATCATTCAAAATTTGGATGCTCCTTCTCTCAAAAACTCGATTTCTATTTTCTGCACTTTTTCTTTGCCAAAAGCTGACCAGCACATCTCCCTATCAATGCAAATGGAATGTTTTTTGAACCATTCAAATCGGTTGATCCGCGCGCCCGAAATCGTGGACGAAAAATTGTCTCCACACATAAACACACACATCCATTTTTTCTGAGGTATGCCCAAATGTTCAGAAACCTCTCAAACGTGAAGATATGCAAAAAAAATTATTTTCGATTTTTGGCCCATTACTATAACTTTCCCTAAGAAAAGTTGAAAAGCTTTCTAAGAATTTTTTGAGATTTTAGACTTTTGTAAAAAAAGTACTTCAAAGTAAGTATGTATGGGTACATTTTTCACCATTGTCGCTTCAAGACTTTTACATATTATAAATTAGAACATACGAAGTTGTGAAACAATTCTTATGCTAAATTGTTTATTAATAATATTATAAATTACCCTTGTAGTAACAATGTCCCTTTTCGGCCAACTATTGTAAATTCATCAAATTTATTAAATGTTCTTAACTGGACAGTTGTAAATAAAAGAGATAATAATAATAAAAATAATAAAAATAATAATAATAATAATAATAATATAAATAATTTATGTTTCTAAATTACCTTTGGTTAAAGTTCAACTTTGTTTAATTTAATCTTCTACCCCTTTTCCATATGTACCTTTGCATGTCTCACCAAATATCGTTGTTGTGAAAACTCCTTATCACAATACGAGCACTTATACATTTTTGCAGCCTTGTGCACATGCATATGATTAGTCAAAACATGTCTTCTGGTAAACCCTTTCCCGCACACTGTGCATTCAAAAGGCCTGTCATCCGAATGAATCATTTTATGTTTCGACAAAGACACCACATTCCCAAACTTTTTATCACATACATCACAATCATAAGACTGTTTGTCCCCATGTGTAATTTTATGTTCTTGTAAACGATTCAGGTTCTTGAAAACTTTGCCACAACATTTGTAAGAAGAGTCTTTGGTGTGGATTAGGATGTGTGTTAATAAGTTGCTGCGCTGTGAGAATCCTCGAAGGCAGTATTGACATGTGAATGGTTTTGCACCCGAGTGCATGTGAGAGTGACGGGTGAGATGAGATTGCCGAGTAAAGATTTTCTGGCATGTTTTGCATTTGTAAAGGTTTTCTTCAGTGTGTACTCTGAAGTGTTCCTTTAAATTGCTTTGTTTGGTGTAGGATTTGGGGCACAGTGTGCATTGGAAGGGCTTGTGGGATTCTTCAGATATATCATATTCACATTCAGACTCTGTTGACTTTAAGAAACAAATTTCTTCGACATTTGGATTTGTTTCTGATCTTGTACTATTATCATCATGTAATTTACTATCATTGTTTGAATTTGTTACTTCAGCATCCAAATTAATACATTTATCACCAATTATCTCTGACTTAATGATTTCTTCGACTTGTACGGACATTTTAGACAAATTACTTCTTAACACTGGTTTAATACTATCATTATTAAATTAAAGTAGCACAATTTAATTAGCTCTAGTACTTATAAAAACAATTCCTTGTTTATTATTCTAAATATAAAATTTGTTACTTTTAACCCAAATATCAAAATATTATCTCAACTGTCAAACGTCAAAATTCACCATTGTAAAGATGCTTTCACACACAACGAAATTATTTTGTAAATCTAAAGGTGCTGTCACACACAACAAAACTATAAAGGTGATAAACGAATCAAAACTTTCTTAACTTTTCAAAAAGTAAAATTTCGAAAATAAAACTTGTTGCATTTCTTCACGTTTTGAAGGTTTCTGAACATTTTGGCATACATCAGACAAAATGGTTGTGTGTTCACCTTTTCGGGCGCATGGATCAACCCATAGATAAAAGAAGAGTGGAATGGATCAGCCGATTTGAATGGTTCAAAAACATTCGATTCCTATTGATAGGAAGATGTGCTGATTAGTTTTTGGCAAAGGCAGGTCCAACCGTTACGGCGATACGAAGCAAAGAGTACAGAAAATAGAAATTGAGTTTTTAAGAGAACAAAGCATTCGATTTGAATGATTCAAAAAACATTCAAATCGTAATGATGGGGACAAGCCATGATTAGTTTTTGGCAAAGACAGGTCCAGCAGAGATACGGAGAAAAATGTGCAAAAAATGGCAGATTTTGAGAGAACTAAGCATCCGATTTGAATGATTCAAAAAACTATGTGCTTGTGTTGATGAAACGATTGCTTATGGAAAAAGAATTTTTTTAATTAATTTTTTTTTAAATATGGATCAATTTTAAACATATATAAGTTACAGTATTTATAATAATCTATTTGAAAACATTCAATATTTTTACGAATATTTCATTACGGTACGGGAAGTTCCATCAATTTTAAACATATATATGTTACAGTATTTATAATAATCTATTTGAAAACATTTAATATTTTACAAATGTTTCATTACGGTACGGGAAGTTTCAGCAATTTGCCTTAAGGCACGATGTCATACATCACTAGTTCAATTTCGGACGGAAAAGTTTGTTTTTGCCAGAAAACCCGATTTGCTCATTTTGTTTTCTAGACAATTCTACTATGTTTCTAGCCATTCAGACTCTTTTTAGACCAAAAGAATGCATGTTTGTGTATGTGAATCGACATTCAAAAAAAACATCTAGAACGATTTCAAAAATTTAAAAGCCGTTCTTGATAGCTAGTAACTTGATAAGCACTCGCGTTGATTTATATTACGAGATGATCGGCTGAGTCGTTTCTTTAGGATCAACCGCAAAATGCAAAAATTTGCGTCCACATTTTCATAAAAAACTTTGAACCAAATACCTTTCAAATGTATCATTTGGAGATCTTGCTGATTAGTTTTTAAAAAAGATCGGCCAGACCGTTTCTTTGTCACTAATTGTTTTTCGCCAATTTCAAACATGTCAAAAATATTTACATTTTCCACTCGCTTAAGGGGGTTGTTCTTTTTTTTGTTACAAAACATGCAAGGTATTTGTTTCTGTTTTTCTCGAAATGTATTTATCATAAAGACATGCGGTTTTTTTTAAACAAAAATTACAAAATCATAAAATATTAAGAAATTTTTATTTCTTTTTTTTTCGCCGTCATTTTTTAACCAGGGGGCGCCAAAGTGGGCATTGCAAAATCGATCTCGTTTGCGGTGCCACAGATAAATCCGTTGCGCATCGCCTGAAACAAAAAAAAACGAAACTACGTTGAAGAAGAAGTTTTAATCCAGTCCCCCTACCAAAATGAAAGAAAAAAAGCAAGAAGGAAAAAATGGCAACTATTTAAAAAAAAAGTGTCAAAAAGGCCTTTTTTTGGGACGAGAAGGTTCGCAAATTTTTTTTGCGTAATGTTATCAAGTTGTTTGAGGTAGGGGGACTAGGTATTACAGTGGTGAACAAATTAAAAAAAAATGCAAGTCGATCCGACTTGTAGTTTTTTTTTAATTTGTGGCACCGCATTGAAAAAAGTCAATTTGAGAAAAACGTATTTGAAGTTTTTAATATAATGTACTAAATACACCATTTAATTTAATGTACGAAATACACCATCGTGTTCAAAGATGCTGACACATTAAAAAGGTCATGTGCATGAGGTATTATAATAAAAAGAGGCAGCTGGCATACAATAGCTCGCGGAACAATAAAAAAACGCTTTCAGAGGATCATACGTATAGAGATATATATATCTATAACTTCGGCAAAAAATAGATATTGGGATGATTTTTTTTTTAAAATAATTCTAAGGTTTTTAGCTTTCATAATATGAAAAAATCTCAAAACCGAAACAAAGAAAAATAAAAAAAGAACAAGCCCCTTAAATCCCAGAAATTTTGGCACTTAGAAAATATTAACATTCTTCACTCACTTGTGAAAAATTCATGGACTATATCCATTAATGGACATATAGTCCATGGTTATTCGCCAATTTCAAACATGTCAAAAATATTTACATTTTGTGCCATAATACGTCTATTATAATAACAAATAATAAAAATTTTGGAAGAAAAGTTTTGAACAAGAGTTCTAAAAAATATATTCCACGTAGACACCAATCTGTAACGAATTTATCCGTAATATGTCTGAGGCTCCGTGGAACTACATAGACACATTCGTTACAGAAGTTCTCATACACTTGCGAACTTCGGAGCTAATAGGACACAATTCTGGAGCCTCCCCCCATGAAGTAACGCCGTGGGGACAAGAGACAACAAATAAGCTAGGATTTTATTTGGTATTATTTATAATGAGCCCAACATACCCAGACTAAAACTTAGTATGGCAGCATAAGTGCATTTTCTCAACTATGCAAAAATTAGACATCAATTCAATGAGCTCTGCAGAAAGTACTGTTTGTACTGCAACTCAAGTTTGACAAAATTAAAACACTAAACACTAAACTATTAAAAACAAATATATGAAAAAAGAAATTGAAGATTAATAAGGAATTTTTTACTAAAATTAATAAAAAGTTTAGAAAGATAAGATAGATAATAGTAATAAAATAATAGTTACGAAAGCAACAGATGTTTGTATTTTACAAACTATAAACTTTTTTGGACGTTATTAATGCTTTAGAAAATATTATTTTTTTTATTATATTTACTGCAAATGATAATTCAGATGTGCAACGCACTAATCGCTTAAAAATAATTTATTCTCCTTGATTATTTAATAATAATAAAATAATAAATCATGTTTCGTTTATTTATTAATTCATTTATTTATTTATTTAATTAATTCATTCATTTATTAATTATTGTTTAAGGTTATTACATGCATTTTGACTAAGAGTTATGCTATCTAAATGTCTCGATGAATTTACAGCAATGGAGAATTTTACATTCGGAACGAAGAATATAAATAAAATATCAATAAATAGCAATTTAACCCTCTCCACCAATCTCGGAATTTGCTAGTGGAAAGGGTAAATATCAATCGTAAAATATATCTTGCCAAGAACTGTAATAAAATCAAAATAATTCAGAAAAAATTTAATCCAGCTAGAATTGTACCGTAATTATTAAAGAATATACACAATGGTGACTCAAGATTTAGGAGCCAATTCTCGGATTAAATAGAAACGTTACGGGTCTATAATCTTATGAGTTGGCACATAAAATTTAGCCTTCAAAAGGCACAAAGGTCAAATAATTTTATAAGTGCAACTTTCTTGTGTCACTTTGATGGGAACGAGGTAATCGCCAATTTCAAACGAACGAGGTAATCGGTTCGATTCCGCAGCAGTATTATATTTATCGTTTCGACTATAAAATTGCTGTAAAGTCACCGAGACCCCTAACATATAAACTATATATTTAGTATCAAAGTTTTAAGTATCATTTTTCTAACAATTAATTAATATATATTTATAAATGTGTATCGTTACAAGAAACATTATGGATTTATAAAAAAAATATGTGAAATTAAAAAAAAATAACGAATGGTATTACATTTGATTATTGTTAATCATATAAAGAATCATGAGGAATGTAAATGTAATACTACCCCAATCGAGGAAAAAATTTAATGTGATTTAAACCCCTTTAATGAGTAATGTGAATACAATATTATATCTTCGATAATAATTATGAATATATTATTAACCCCTTTGATGAAAGTTATAATTGTAATATTATCATTTCGCTTTATATTTTTTCATTCTATCCATAATGTATAGTCTTGCATCGATCACAAAAACTAAATCGATAAACTTTAAAATAAATACTTTTACATGAGATTATTCGTAAGAGACTTTTCTCCAAGATCAGATTTCTTTCAATTTACATTTATGCTACACGCACAAACTAATTGACTTTGTTGCTACTTAGGATAAAATAGTTAAATGATAGAAAATACAGTTGGAATTATAATAGCTTTCAAGTAGATTTTAAGGTTAGGTTCTTGCATAAATTTTCTAAAAAATTTTAATTAAATAAATATATAATACCTTTTGAATTATAAAATCTTTCACGGTGGCGTTAATAATTTATGAAGCGTGTAATTTTTATTCGAGATGCAGAACTTAAATATGAAAAGTTAATGTTACTTTTATTTATTGTATCAGGACGGATTAATTATTAAAGTCAAACTTCTAATGCGATTTCCATCAAAGTTGGAAGAAAGAAGAGAGAGAGAGCTAGCGAGGTATGTGTGAAAGAAAGAAACAAAAATACACAAAGGTAGAAAGTACGAGAGAAAAAGAGAGCGAGTCAGTGGTATTTTTATTATTCAGCGAAGTAAACGGTGTGAAATTAGCTCAATTACTTGTAGTACTTATTTGAATTATTTTCCTCTCGATTATTCGAAGTGTTAAAACTTTATTATTTTACGATTTTTAAAATCCTTTGGTAATCGCGTCTTTTGTTTAAAAATTTTCATTTTGTTTCAGTTAATTTTTTTTAAATAATAATAAATATTATTTCGTGTTGTTTTATAGGG